CCCGCCCCCCAACGCCCCGCCCGGCCCGGTACTCACCCCGGCCGGAGCCGCCGTGCACGCGCCGGCCGCTGCCTTCCCAGCCTGGCGGACGCGCTCCCGGCGCTGCTCGCCACAAGGGCGGGACGGGATCCGGATCCGGCTCCCCCGCAGGGCTTCTCGGCGCTGATCCGCGGTGACCGCGGCTGGTCTGCTTCTGCCGCACACCCCCGGGGCTTGCACAGCGCGGCTGGAACTAAGTCCCGCGCCCCCGCCGAGTGGGCGAACGCGGGACCCTGGCGTGGCGCGGCGACCAGCAGTACCCCCCACCCCCGCCCCCCGCGCCTGCTGGCCCGGCTGCGCCTCCGGGTCTTGTCCGCCAGTCAGTCATAAACCTGTGCTCCTCTGCCCACCCCAGGTCCCAGCCTCCGGGGCACCAAGTCAGCGACCTCTACGGCAGCGCCCAGCCGCGGCATTTTTACCACAGCTCCGGGTCAACTTAGGTTCCAGGCGCAGCCTCCTGGCTCCCTTCGCCTGACCACCACCTTTGAGGCTGCCGAACCACACCTGTCTCCTTTAAATGTTGCCTCTCAAAGCACACGTGTGGAAGAGTCCTGTGCAGCTCAAGTCAGTCACATTCTGCAATTCAGCAGTCGCGTCCAGCGTTCGCCCTGCGCCCCTCCCTATGCCTGAGATCGCAGTCTGCACGGATTTCTTGTTACCCTTCCCTTCTAGCTATTGGGCGCTTAGCTTCTTGAGGCCAGGGATCAGGCCTTCTGTTTTCCTTACTTTAGTGAATAGAACTGTTGTTCATCGCATTAAAACAGACAAAACAAAAGCCTAGTCCTGCTCTAAAATCCCCTGGAAGTACTGTATACGCTGAATTCGTTCGGGTTAGTCTACTGAGTACTTTACTAAGGAGAGTAAACGTGGCTTTCATCAGTTCTCAAAGAAGTCTGTGACTTCTCCCAAAATTGCTTGAGGTCGACCATGAACCCCAACCGTGATGATGCCCCTACTCTCTGTCCCGGGTTACTCAATTCTGTCTGCCATCGCGAAAAGAGCTAGACCTCCTTTCCGTGCATTCTGAATGTGTGTCCCTCCCAGCTCTGTCTGCACATCGGAACACCAATGGGGCTTGATTACAAATGCCTAGGTCCCTTTCACAAATCCCCACATCAGAGCCTGGGGTGCAGTGGGGTGGGGCGGACCAGGACATGGGTAGTTTGGTGAAGAACTACACCTGATACCTCACAGGCCTGTGACAGCCACTGCCTCTCTAGAAAATAGGGTCCCAATTTGGAGAATCCTCTTCCTTTTCCTTTTCTCCGTGGAAGGACTGAGAACCTTTGCAGCATGTTTAATTCATTTGAAAATTTTCATTTTCCCTTCCACCCACTGCTGCTTAAGAAACCAACTTGAGTTTGTGGGGACAGCAGGCCCAGTGCCACTTCTCAGCGGCACTAACTCACGGCCACCTTTATCTCCAAAACATCCGCCCCAATCAACCGGAAGAGTGACATGAATTGCATTCCCGACAGTGATATTCCCGGCTAGGAACCGTATGTAAAAATGCTGCATGTGAAGAATACGTGGTTGCCATACACAGAGTCTGTCCCTGTTATGAGATCTATCGAATATATCCTGCTACATTACCTAGAGAGAACTGAGGATAAAATGTAAGAGAATCTGTGCTTTTGTCTTTATTTTATTGGTCTTGGTATTTCACACATTAAAGCTGTTGTGCACCATGTTCTCAAGAGCACCTTGGATATTTTGAATTATATGGCCTGCAAGGAAGATCAAAATACTATTCCAGAATTGGTTTTCTTTTTAAATGCCTATAAAGATTCACCTTTTACCTTTAAATGATGAATTGTGTGTTGACAGTGCCCCAAAATGCTTCAGGATGCTAGGGAAGGGCCAAGTAGAGTGTTAGAGACAGCAAGGAAGAAATAAGGCTTCAGGCCCGGAGACAGATGCCAGCGATGGCTTTGTGAAGTAGGATGGACATCAGTGTTCAGGGACGCCCTCACCCTGTCAGACCACAACGAGCCGTCCCGATTTCCACACCAGGCTGCTGGACACATCAACCAGCACAAGAGTTTTTCCATCTAAGTAGGGGTGGCGGTTTTTCTGAGTGAGTCTTGGTATCTAACTAAAACCACCTCAGAACATTTTTTACAAAGAAATTTTAAAGTCTTGCTCATTTTCTCTTGGACAGTCAACTTTTTGCTGTTTATGAGTCAAATCACTTCCCTTATTCATTTGGAAAAAAAACAAAACGGAGTTGAGAAGCGCAGCTCAGAGATAATCCTCCCAGGGATTCTGGAAATCCCTGCTGCTGCTCAGGTTCCAAAGAGTCCCGTTAAAAATCCCTGTATAACCAAGGCGTTGCCAACCTCATCTAACAGGAAGTAACTTGGGCAGCCTCTGAGAAACAATAAAACCATGCAAAGTTTATTAAAATGGTATTTGAAGGGCCAGGGAGATAGCTCAGTGGCACAGTGCTTGCCTGGCAAGCACAAGGTCCTGAGTTCAATTCCGGGTACCAAAAAAGAATGTCATTTGATCTTTATCAAAATTTACCCATTAGCGCTTGGTACGGTGGAGCACACCTGTAATGCCAGCACTCAGGAGGCTGAGGCAGGAGGATCGTTGTGAGTTCGAGACCAGCTTGGGCTACAAAGTGAACTCATGGCCAACCTGAACTGTGTAGCAAGACCCTGTCTCAAAAAGACCAAAAAAAAAAAAAAAAATCTACCCGTTAAAGAAAACCTTGCAGGAGCAGTTGGGAAGACACCAGGAATACCCATGGAACAGGAAGTTAAATGGGAGCTATTACATTATTCCCATTTTGACAGAGCTCCAGATAATAGTGTCAGCCCTTCTCACATTCCAGAAAGGGAGCTGGAGCACCGTACGGGACCTGGGAAGTGGTGTTCCTTCAACCTCTCGCTTACCCTGTAGTGTAAAAGGGTCAAAATGGATGCTGACCAGGTTGCTGCTGTTAGAAAAGGTCTCCGTGGATGGCAGGGGTCACACCCAGCTCTGTGCCCACAACAGGGCAGTCTGCTCTTACCTCACATGCAGTGAGAGGGACTTCAGAGATCCCCATGTCCCCTGCAGTTTGGGGACACCATGGCCTAGTGTGGGCTTGTGCCAGAGAAACTGATGTTGGGAAAAGTGGCCTTAATATCCAGTTGAAACTGTGGTGGGGGAAGCGGTTTGCTGCCATAGAAAGCAAATCTAAAAGAGAGACCCCACTGGACAGGACTGCTCAGAAAGGCAGACACCTTGGCAGGAGGAAGCCAGGGGTTTGGCTCCAATGTCCATGGTTCTGGAGAAAAATCTGAGGCAACATTGTGAGGCCAAATGAATTATCCTGTGCTGAGGGGACAAATAGATGGCGAGAAATGACCCGGCAGGGTGGCGGTGGTGGCAAGAGGGGTTCTGACAAACCCACAAGCGCATCTGTGAGAGAGAAGGAAACACTGGCCATGGGCAGAGGCAGCCTTGGTCCCCGGAACCATCCAAAGCCTTTCCACCTCCTCTGCATCTGAGATGTGCCCGGCAGAGGGAAATACACACGGTGCCTACCAAACTCACCTCCCCGCCCAACTGTGGAGGGTTTTGGTATTACACTGTACCAGACAAAGTAATTACTGAAATAAGACTGTCTTTTTGGCTAAAAGTAACCAGAGGCCTTTTAGTTACTTGAGAATAACCCCCCAAAGTCATAGGTCCTGTGCATTCATTCATCCAAGGGATAGGAAAACAGCTACCCACAAGGCAATGGAATGCTGCTGCTTTGTGATTATGCCCATGAGTCCCACTGGCCGGGGTGTCAGCTACATGGCCTTCCACATCAGACCTTCGCCTCGAAGGATGTCCCCTCTGGCAGCCTACCTGAGGTACAAGCGAGTGGTATGTGTCAAGAAAATCCCTTCATGTGTGCTGTATCTGAATTACAATCTAAGCTTTCTGACAAGAAAGGGTACTGGATTAATAGCACTCACGTTCTGTTGGTTTAACCTTCTATGAAATAACTGCCTGCCAAAGTTTTCCCTGAAGGGCTCCTTTTAAATGATTGTCAAGGTCTCCTTGAGGCAGGAAATTCTATTTTGAAAAGGCTACAGCACCCCATAGATCAAGGACCCATCAGTGAATGTGGCACAGGCGGAAGTGCTGGGGGTGGCCTGAGTGACAAGGCTGAAGTATCTCTAAATCAAAGTCCTTGCAGGCACACAAGCACAGCAGCGCTGGCCTTTGGAGGCTGGTGTGTGACTGAGGGTGACAGAATCACCTTGGTGACAGTTTCCACAGGATGTTCCTGGCCACACGCCCTGGGAATCCCCGAGCACTGTCCTGTATTCTCTGGAGTGCTGGGCAAGATCGCTCTGCTTCTCCTCCTGCACATGTGACTGGTGTGCAATGGGAGAACCTCAGATCCAGCCCAGATTCCATGCCCCGAAATTCACTGGGACTCCATTTTCACTATGTCACCTAAGAAATTGTCATTTGCTGCCCAGGCAGAAGCCCAAAGAGTGTGCACAGTTTTTATCCCAGTCAGTCCCCTCGGTGGGCCTTTGGCCTACGTGTATGAAGGTTGAGAGGGATCCATTATTTATTTGATTTAAAAACAGTTTCTAAATCAGAGAGCTCAGGATGAATCATTTTTCATGGTGTAATGTTCTATTTGTCATGAATGCTGCTTTTCAGGAATTTAGCTGATCCTGACTCAGCCTTTCAGAGCTCTCACCACAGACGTGCTTAGCCCTGTGGTAGTAATTTCCTCACTCGGCCACCTGCCACCCACTACCCAGTCTCTACCCTGAGACCTCTCCATGAGTCAGGGATAGAGTGTCAACAGGGACAGAGCAAAAGGCCAGCTGCACAGCTAGTGTCTGATATACTGGTGACCTCTCTGGGCTAGTTCCTAATATTTTAAATATCACTTTTTGTTTGTTTTTTAAGACAGGCTCTCGTTATGTAGTTCAGGCTGGCCTGGAACTCACTGTGTAGCCCAACCTCACCTCAGACTCCTGGATGATCCTCCTGCCTCCTGAGTGCTGGAATTACAGGCACCATACCTAGTTCTCCCACCATACCTGGCTCTCCCTCTGTCTCTTAAGGGTGTGCATCCCCCCTCCCCCGTCAAGTGGTCCTGCCCCTTAGCCTACAGGGTGTACACATTTCTCCTACAAAAAGCACTTTCTAGAGCTCCTGTTTTCTCAGCCGGGCTCCTGTTTCCCAGCTCCCTTCCTCTGGGTGAGAAATCGCCCACCAGTGTACGTTTCTCTTGCTGCTCACCTTTACCTCCAGTCTTCGCATCCCTTTCAGCACCCACAACCTGAGTTCCAGGTATACTGCTGAAAGGCCCCTCGGAGCTCGCAGTGAATAGCCTCCAGGTACCTAGCTGCTCTGGCTGTTGCTGCAGGAACTCCTCATCCACCTCATGTTCCCTTATTCCTGGGTGTCCTTGTGGTTGCCTGGACCCCCTTCCTGGCTGCCATGGGGCACACTGCACAGGAAGCCACCCTAAATTGTAGGCTTCTCCCTGCCTTGCATGTGGCCCCCCTCTGTGGATACCCTGATCCTCTCCTCCATCCTGAGCCTTTGTCTCAGAGACAGGCAGTGCCTTTTCTCTCCAGTGACCTCGTGTTCATTCAGTAATGAAGT